GTTTGTGTGTATAATACAAAGCCCTCATTACTGCACGTGCATACACGCATGGTGAAAGCGTTTGTTATCTAACCTCTAAACCGTATTCCGGGTTATATCTGAGATCCGTCAGCAGTGTGTGAAGCTGTCCTTTACGCATGCCCTCGTTCAGTTTGGTCACTATTGAGGTCAGGAGGCAAAGGTCAGACGACAGCCTGTCCATGTTGACGAGGGTGGCGGCCAGCAGTTGTAAGTTCTGGGTCAATTTTAGTTTTTAATAATTAAAAATACTACTATTATAATAATAATTATAATTATCATCAACATTATTATTAACATTATTATTATTAGTAATAGTAGTTGTTGTTGTAGTAGTAGTTGTTGTTGTAGTAGTAGCATTAGTAGTAGTAGTAGTAGTAGTAGTAGTAGACAAAGTAGAAGTAGACAAAGTAGCAGCAGCATCGGTAGTAGCAGTGGCGATAGTAGTAGTATTAATAAAATTACTAAGAATCATTAGCAATAAGTAAGTTTATCGAACAATGTTAATTTGCACAGCATACGACTATGTGTGTGTAACTTGTATAAAATGATATTATATATCTACATTATGCATTACGTGTGTGTCTGTGTGTAACTGTACGTGTGTATAGATGTGTGTGTGTGTGTGCGTGTTGTGTGTGTGTGCACATATATGATGTAAGTTGAAAAAATTAATGATGAATGACACAAAGGCCATCAAACATACTATAGAAAGTGTGTGTGTGCGTGTGCGTGCGTGCGCGTGTGTGTGTGTGGGTGAGCGTAGGTGTGTACCGTTATGGGGTTTTCGCTTAGTTTTCTTTCATGGTGATGACGAATAATAGTCTGATCGCGACTTTTACGATCCCAACAGTAACATCTTCGTTTCTTTTTTCAACAAATTATTAAAAAATTATTTCAATAATATTAATTTATATTATTATTATATTTATATTATTAAATTTTTATATTATATTAAATTAATTCTAATAATATTATTTAATAATAATAATAATTTTATTATTATTGTTATAATTATTAGAATTATTATAAATAATAATTATAGTATTTATAATAACAAGAAGAATAGAAGAAAAACTAACCAGTTTATTTCTTAAATCAATACTTTTCCGCGCCAAAATTTTCAATTCATTTTTAAATTCCAGCATGAGCTCGGGCTTAACGCTAAATGATTTATTCTGAAAATAATCTCTAAACCTCTTCAACCGAAAACTTTTCGCGCCAGTGGTGGCCGTCGCCTCTGTTGTCGTTGCGTAGCGACTTCCTAGGCTGCAGGCTTCCTTACGACAGCTAAACTTGTTGTTGTTGTTGTTGTGGTGGTGGTGGTTATTGTTGCTTTTGTTGTTGTTGATGACGTTTTCAATTGTTTTACTGGACTCGTCAATACTATCCCAACTTGACGACGATGATGATGGCGTCGATGTTTTTATTGGCAATGATGACGATTGGGATGATGATGGTGCTGGTGGTAGTGGTGGTAAGGATCTCTTCCTGAGTCTGATATCTTTGAATGACGTCATCATTCTTCTTTTGTTTTTATTGGTCCAATTTTGTTTCTTTCTTCGCTGGGTCCGGAGACTTTTTTTTAAATGGTTTTCGCTATTTCGCTTCCAAACTTTTCTGACGTCTTCCTTTCCGTTTGAGATGGAATTGAAGATCGGTGGCGGTGACGTCATTATGAAGGGTGATGATAATGATGTTGTTACCGATGATGATGATGATGATGAAGATGATGTTAATATCGAGAATGATGATGATGATGATGACAATAGAGCCAATGAAGACGACGATGATGATGGCGCTATTGTCGTGACTTTAGAACTCGTCGGTGTTAGTGATGAATTTGATGAGATCGTTTCAATTGGATGCCCTGTTATTGTTATTTTAATTATTATTATTATTATTATTATTATTATTGGTAGTAGTAGTAGTAGTAGTAGTAGTAGTGTTGGTGGTGGTGGTGGTAGTCGTAGTAGTAGGTAGCAGTAGTAGTAGTAGTAGTAGTGGTGGTAGTGGTAGTAGTCGTAGTAGTAGTAGTAGTAGTAGTAGTGGTGTTGGTGGTGGTAGTCGTAGTAGTAGTAGTAGTAGTAGTAGTAGTAGTGGTGGTAGTAGTCGTAGTAGTAGTAGTAGTAGCAGGTAGCAGTAATAGTAGTATTAGTAGTGGTAGTCGTAGTAGTGGTGGTAGTTCAAGTAGTAGTAGTCGCAATAGCAGTCGTAGTAGTAGTAGTAGTAGTAGTAGTCGCTTCTGTTGTTTTACAAAATTTTATTTTTTCATATAACAAACCTATCGCTAATGAATTAAGAAGGCAGAAAGACAAAATGATTCTTGTGAAAAAATTCGCCATCATAATATATTTTTTCCAAAATAATATTTAATTTAATAAATATATTTCAAATTATATTAGAAATAATTAAAAACTCTTTTTAAACAATCGATTATTTTTGAAGAATAAAAGGGAATTTTACCTTCCATCTTAGAAATTTTGCCCTCTTATAGGTTTTAAGACCCCGTCATAATCACGATTTCTTGATTTTTTACCAAAATCGTATTTTAACGCGCACACACACACACATATACATACATATACGCACATACATATACGTACATACATATACATACATACATACATGCCTATGTACCATAGTATAAACATATTCCTTTGTTAATTACCAAGCGAAAAACCCGTATCTGATCGGAAAAACCAGACACATATGCACTGAGACATCATGTTTTATCAAATATTCAAATATATATATATAATTATATACACCCGTTAAACCATCACATATTGTTGACTAATCGTCCACTGAAAACCATTGAAAATTAATCTGTGTGTTGTTCAGCCTGCATATGTGTATTACACAAAGTGTTTTTTTCTCTATCTCTTTTACTCTCTCTCTCTCTCTTTCTCTCTCTCTCTCTTTATATATATATATATATATATATATATATATACAATTAATAAATTGCAGTAATTAAAAATTCGATCTTCATCCTTTGACTCTCACATAAATCTCTCTCCTTATTTTTCTATTTGTTACGTCACTAGCCCTTACCAATAACTCCACTATCTCTCTCTCTCTTCTTTCTCTTTTATCTCTTATTGTTCTTTCTTTCTCTGTCACTCTTCTTTTCTCTCTCTTTCTATCTTTTACTTTGTCGTCTCGCTATAAACAAACGAACGAATACAACTAGAAATTAATTTACTTTCAGACGAGCGTTAATAACACGAGTATCCATTAAAAAAATAGCTAGCTTGCGAAAATGAAAATACCGGAATTCCCAGAAATATCAAACAGCTATAGATAGAAGGTTGAATGTGAACAGTAAGTGTTATACATGCGTGTGTATGTACGTATATATATATATATATATATATTTATATATATATATAAGATCATAATTAATATATAATAAATAATAATTAATTAGTATATATATACATATTTGGGTTATATATATATATCTGTATAATATATATCTGTAATTAATATATCACTTCATAGCACGATTATAAAAAATAATGTGACTATCTTCTTAGGTGGTTACCTAAGGATTTCACATATCAGGAACTTGAACTATAGTTTTTAAACTTTGGATGGCCCGGAAGTGATAATTTTTTTATGGAGCTGCTCCGCACAATTGCTATCTATATTGCTAATAATATAATAATAATAATAATAATATTATTATTATTATAGAAATTGTCGTGGTAGTAGTAGTTGTAGTAGTAGCGGTAGCAGCAACAGCAGCAGCAGTTGTAGTAGTAGTTATTATAAACTAAAATGATGATAGTTGCAAGTTATAAGTGATGGTAGTAGTTATGATGATGACGATAACGACAATAATGTTTTGTGTGACATACAATGGTTTCGATAATTTCGTATTTATTTACATGTAAGGAAAAAATCTTATGTTTGCTAGTGAGTGTGTGAGAGTGCGTGTGTATGTTACAATGTAGCTAATTACGTATTGTACATTTCTAGTCGTGTGTGTGCGTGTGTATGTGTGTATGTTTTTTACTCATTTTTTGTCTTTGAATTCGTGCAATGTTCATTTATGACCATAAACTGCATTTGTTGATACTTTGAAATTTTCCATATTTGTCGTTCATACAAAAGAAAATAATTACCTTTTCAATCAAACTTTTCAAAATCAAAACCGACCTAATTGCTTACATGAAGTTCTTTTACATATCTTTAATCGTTATTAACTACATTTTTAGAGCCGCAAAGTCACCTCGACCACACCACACCACACTACACTACGCTACTCCATGCCACACCATACATCGATTCGTACGTTCATTCATTTGAGATCGGACGGTTGTAATTGACATTCTTATAGACTCTACAACTACAATGGTATTTAATTTTGAGATTTTATCGAATTGGCTCTTAATAAATGACTTGTTATTAATAATTATATATATAATTATATTCCACAGATTTCTAAATTCAGTGCAGTCACGGCGTTTGAACCTGGCTTCTGCGAGTTCGATCATCGGTCGAAGTTTTGATTTTCAATCATAGCAATGAAGAAATTTTTCAAAATTTTACTGATCACTCAGAAACAACAAAACACATAACAATAGACTATACCCGCCCATGTTTGCAACATGGCGTTTATTTCTATCTCGAGCGAACGACATCTATGATATAACAAATTGTTATGAATAAGTTGCAGTTGAAAATAGTGGAACATTCATTAAAAAGGTATTATTAATCATGGACGAGTGTTGTTTTTTGTATTATATGTATTTGTGTGTGTGTTTGTTTGTTTGTATGTGTGTGTATGTATGTGTGTGTGTATGTATGTGTGTGTGTGTATGTATGTTTGTGTGTGTGGTGTGTGTGTGTGTACGTTATGTATGTATGCATGTATGTATGTGTGTGTATTGGGTATTCGTACATACCCTTCCGGTATAGAGTTGTAATATAACCAAAAGAAAGAGAACATTTTGAAAAAATAAAATTCTTTGCTAGCTTGAACTCCAGGCAAAGGTTAAAAATGTTGTGTTGCTGCTTGCTGCTGTTCCCGGCGTCGTTGTTATAGACGAGGTGGCTGATAATGTCGACATCATGTATTGCAGTTGTTGTTGTTGTTGCAGTTGTTGTTGCAGTTGTTGTTGCAGTTGTTGTTGCAGTTGTTGTTGTTGTTGCAGTTGTTGCTGCTGCTGCTGTTGTTGATTTTGACCAAAATGTGAGTCATCGACGTTTTGCAGCCGTTTTTGCTCTTTATAATGCTGTTGTGGTTGTTGATGTTTTTGTAGCTGCGGTCGTTTTTGTTGTTGCTGCTGCTGTAGTTGTTGTTGCTGCTGTCGTTGTTGAAGTTGTTGAATAGTCAGTTTTTTGTTGAAATTTGTTTTACCCTTCGCAACGTAAGACCTAGATAAGGCATCAAGCGCGTGAGTCATAACGCTATCTTGTAATACTATTTGCTGCTGTTGTTGCAGCAGCTGTTGTTGTTGCAGCTGCTGTTGTTGCAGCAATGGTTGCTGTTGTTGCAGCAATGGTTGATGTTGTAGCAAAAACTGTTGTGGTTGTAGTTGCTGCTGCTGTTGTGGTTGAAGTAGTAATAGTTGCTGTTGTTGTGTTTGTAGTAGAAGCTGTTGTTGTAGATGTTCCAGCTGCTCTTGTGTGAGGTGGAGTGATGTGATTGGCTGGAGGTTTTGAATAATTTGTGATTGACCAATTGCGTCCTTATTATTACCTACCATATTGTTATTATTATTATCACCATTATTATTATTATTATTATTATTGCTATTAATATTGTTGTTGTTATTAATATTGTCGTTGTCATTGTTACACGATTCCGAAAGACCATTGGCTGATAAAAATATCACATTTCCAGCGCTCAAATCTGATTGGCTGAGATTGAAGTTCAAGGCCTCTGTCGTTTTTGGCACTAAGATTAGAGCGCCATTAGAGAAGGAAGCTGTTGGATTGAGTTAACTAATTATTCAATTAATTAATTAATTAATTAATTAATTAATTAATCAATTAAATCATTCATATCTTTTTAATTGAAAACAAACCTGACGCATCTTCAAGACATATAGTTGGCGTTTCTAAATTGTTAATGTTATGAATTGTCGATGTTGCAGCATAAACTTGTTGCTGTTGTTGTTGTAGTTCAGTTGACGTTCTTGTTGAATCTTGCAGTAATGTTTGTTGAAGTTGTTGGTTGGAAGCCACAAACTGCTGTTGCTGTGCTTGGTGCGACTGTTGTTGATTCGTTTGCTGCTGTTTAGGATGGCGTTTTTGCTGCTGTGGATGTTGCTGGCGTTTATGTTGTAGTAACTTAGATCTGGAAGAGAACTGCCTGTAGCAGATGTCGCACGAAGATGGCTGGACCAGTATCTGGCCGCTTTTGGCTGAAAATGTCGACGAATGACTACTCGTAGCCGCTGTGCTGCCGATGACGTTGCGGCTGCTACTGCTGCTGCTATTTTTGTTGCAGTTGCGAAGTGATGCGGGAAGCTCGCATCCTGGATGGGATTTCAAGATGTGCGTCTTACGTTTTGTACTCGACTTGAAGATCTGCCGGTGATAATGATAACGACAATCAGTCATAATTAATTAATAATAATAATAATATTATTATTATTATTTATTATTGTTATATTATTAATACTTATTGTTATAATTTGTATCAAACCCGCCAACAGATCGAAATGAACGAACCTTGTTGCAGTAGAGGCAGAAGTAATCGTAGCGACTTTTAACAATGGGCTGTGAAAGTTCGGGGAAGTTAGATAGATGTTGAGTGGGGTGCTTTTTTAAGGCATGGTTCACAAGGATGCCCCTGCGTTTGAAGCCGAGTTTGCATTGCTCGCACTTGAATGGGTAGTCGTTGTAGGCTAGTGTCGCCGGTGTCGCTGGTGTCGTTGTCGCTGCTGTGGCGGCGTTCTGAGATGAGAATATTATTATTATTATAAGATTATAATTAATATAAATAATAAAAAGCAATTATTATTATTATTATAATTAATTAAACAAATAATAACCCAGCCAACCGTATTGCCTGCATCATCATCTGTTCCTCTTTCGAGTAACGCCTCAACCTTCCTCCCGAACCTAGACCTCTTAAATCCACTTAGGTCACTTCCTGTCAATCCACTTCCGCTTCCGGGATGCTGCCTCTTCATATGCTCCTTCCACTTATCCTTCCTCTTGAACTGCCCCCCGCAAACCTCGCAGACGAACTCGCGATGGTCGGAATGACGCAGGCTGTGCAGTCGCAACTTGTCGCTGCGAGAGAACTTTCGATCGCAATGGTCGCAGGCGTAAGACTTCGGCCAGTGCTGTAGTCGAATGTGGCGTGCTAGCTGGCGGTAGTGCTGGTAGACACGGTGGCATTGAGGGCAGCTGTACGTTCCTGATGTAAAAGATTTGAGGTGTTGCATGCGTGTGTCTCTCTGTATCTCTTTGTGTGTGTGTGTGTCTGTCTGTGTGTCTTTGCTTGTGTGTGTCTATGTCTCTCTGTGTGTCTGTGTGTATGTCTGTGTAAGTTTGTGCACGTGTGAAGGCGGGTGTATATGTATTACCAACAAGGTTAAAGAGTATTTATGATTTTATTAGTCACATTTATATACTTCATTAAATTACTAAATTACAACAACAACAACTACTACTACTATTACTACTACTACTGCTACTACTATGACTAACCATCAGCTTCAACATCATTATCATGTAAGAGTTCTATTTTTATCGGCGGTGGTTTCCCAAGTTTGGAATTTCCAACAATATCATCATCATCATCATCATCATCATCATTATTATTACTATTATTATTATTATTATTATTACTGATACCTTTGTTATTATTTCTATTACGGATGAATTCCTTTTTGACACAATTGGTCAACGATGAACCATCATCATCATTATCATCATCATCCTTATTATTATTATAATCATCATCATCATCCTTATTATTATTATTACTATTATTATTATTATCATCATCATCATCAGCAGCAGCAGCACCAACATTATTATTATCATCATTATTATTATTATCATTATTATTATTATTATTAACATCATTATCATCGTCATTATCAGTAGCTATACATTTTGCAATGGTCATTAAGCTATCATCGCCACCCTGCTTATAGATTCCATCGTCATCATCATCATCATTATCATCATCGTCTTCGTCCTTATCATTATCATAACCATGGACAACGACTTCGCTACTGACGATGACGTCATCGCAGATGACGAACTGATCATTATTACCGTAATTATCATCATAATTATTATTATTATTATTATTATTGTTATTATTGATATCACCAACTCCGTAATTCTTATCGTAATTATTATCATCATAATTATTATTATCATCATAATTATTATTATCATCATAATTATTATTATCATCATAATTATTATTATTATTATTAACATTATTATCGTTGTTGTTGTTGTTATTATTGATATTACCAGCCCCAACGTAAGTAACAGTTCTAACATCATCATCAACAGTGGTGGCATCATCAACAGTAGTAGTAGTAGCAGCAGCAGCAGTAGTAACCACAGTAGCAGCTGCAACAGCAGCGTTATAATTATTAACACCAAAATCGCCGATGCTACTATAAACAGTATTACCGTAAGTATCATCATTGTCATCATCACCAACACTTTTATTATTATTATTAGTAGTAGTAGTAATATAATTATTATTATTATTATTACTATTATTATTATAATTTGTATTATTATCATCATCACCATCATTATTATTAACAGTATTATGTTCATTATCTGGCACATGATGAGCGTAGCATTTCAATGCTCTCTCCATGTGCTTCTCGACTGCATGCAGCTGGAGTAGCTTGGACTTGGCGAAGGACTCGTCGCACAGCAGACAGGCGTAGTAGCCACGCGCGTCGTGAATTTTGGCGTGCACAGAGAGAGCGCTGGCGTTTATGAAGCGACGACTGCATACCTGGTTGGTTGATTGGTTGGATGATTGGTTGGTTGGTTGATTGATTGATTGGTTGGATGATTGGTTGGTTGATTGATTGATTGGTTGGATGATTGGTTGGTTGATTGATTGGATGATTGATTGATTGGATGATTGATTGATTGATTGATTATTTGATTGATTGGATGATTGATTTGTTAGGTAGTTAGTTGATTGATCAAATGATTATTGATTGATTAGTTGGTTGTTTGGTTGAAAAATTAGGTCAAATAATAATTTTAATAAGGAATAATTCAACAAAAGTAGCATTCATTCAGCTAGTCAACAAAGACAATCAATTAACAAATCAACCAACCAACCAACCAACCAACCAATCAACCAATCAATCAACCAACCAACCAACCAACCAACCAATTAACTAACCAATCAACCAACCAATCAACTAACCAACCAACCAATCAATCAACCAATCAACCAACCAATCAACCAACCAACCGAACATAAATACTGTTTATCCTCATCAGTTCCGTGCACTTTTAAATGGTTAATCAATCGGTCGTGCTGTCTGAACGATTTGAGACAAATCTGTTTTGAGCGTGTTCATGTTTTTTTTTGCTTATGTTTCTTTGTTTATGTTCTTCTATCTTTGCTTGGTGTTTCGTTTACGTTTATATATATATATATATATATATATATATATATATATATATGTGTGTGTGTGTGTGGGTGTGTGTGTGTTTAATTGTGGTGAGAAGCAAATAAATGAGATGAGACAAACCTGGCATTCGAAAGGCTTGAGTAAAACTTTATTTCCATTATTATTAATATTCAGATTATTATTACTATTATTATTATTATTATTAACCAAGGCATGCAATCTGGTATGTGATAGCATATCAGCATGGCTGTCATACTGAACATCACGACATACAGGACATTGTAAACTTAGCGCCTCATCAGTCTTACCTGTAGCTAGAGTGGCTGCGTTTGCCGCGTTTTCTGTCGCTGTTATTGTTGTCGTCGGTAGTGAAGAAGATATAGTGTCATTATTATTATTAGTAGTAATAGTAGTAGTAGTTGTTGATGTTTTAAAAGTATTAGTAGTAGTAGTGGTAAAAGCAGTAGTAGAAGTAGTAACAGCAGCAGCAGTAATAAAAGTAGTAGTTGAAGTAGCGGCAGTAGCAGCAGTTGGAGGAAGATGCTTCAGTGAAAATTTTGTCGTTGGAGATCTTTTGGCAAATGGGCTTTTTAGACTAGGTGATTTTTCGCCGTTATTATTATTATTATTATTATTATTATTATTATTATTACAATCACCATTAAGACCATCATTACCTACCCCATTGCAAACATCATTATCAAAACCGTGGGCGATGATGTGGACATTAAAAATATTCAGGTCATCAAAAACTAGGTCACATTTTTCGCAGGGCAATGTTTTGTTTGACTTGGATTTCATTTTGGAGGAGGATTTTGATTGGTCGATGGAGGTCAACCAATCAGAAGGCGGTCTCTTTCTAGGTCGGCCCCGGCTATTTTTAGATCGCTTCCGCTTTAAGGTTTTTTTGCTGGATGAAAATATTTTTTTAGAAGATAATAAAATCATCATCTGACATTATTATAAGTGTAGTAAGAACCTTACTACATCTACTACTGCTGCTGCTACTGCTGCTACTACAAGTACTACTACTACTGCTACTATTACTACTACTACAAAGTCTACTACTACTGCTGCTGCTACTAATATAAAACAAATATGAATACCTTGCAAGTTTTGCGGTTCTTTTAGACGGAACAAAATCGTCATCATCACCATCACAAGCTTCAGCATCATTACCACCCCCACCATCATCATCATCATTGTTTTTATCGTCGTTATCATCATCGTCATCAGTGACGTCATTAAAGTAACTCCTGCTGCTCTTCTTGCATTTCATCTTCACCTGGAAATATTTGTTGATTATTATGATTAATTCCCATCATCATCGTCATCGCCATCATTTTTGTCATCATCATCGTCGTCGTCGTCGTCATCATCATACCTTCCAGGTCGATTTAACTTTCCTCTTACACTTTTCCAAGGGTAATTTTTCTTTAGCTTTAATTAGGTCACCGCCAACATCATCACTAGTACAGCTTCCGAACTGACCTACTTTTACGTGATTGGTCGAAAACCAAACCTGGAATAATTGGAACTATAATTATCAAAAAATTCCGACTACAACAACGACAAAAATATCCAACTGACTTCAACAGAGATATTTACAATGTTAAAACAATGTTGCAATAAAAAAAATTCACAAAATTCCCTAACTTTAAGTTCATCCCCCAGCTGAATGCATCTAGTAGTGACGTAATATATGTAATCAAAGTGATTCATGGCTATCATGTTTTGGTCGTTCTGATTGGCTGAGGCACGAACTAGCGCCATCCAATTACAGGCGTCCAAATTTGAAAAGTCATTTTGGTATACTTGGCCGTTTGGTTTTTCGATCTTTGGTAAGAAAGCAACGAAGGATAATTAAATGATTAAATTATGAAAATGTTTGTCACTTTTAAAATAAATTAAACTTTAAAAAATTTAAATAAAAGTTGCTTACAGTAAAAGAAACATTATCTCTTCTCCCCATCATCATATCACTGCCTAATTTATTCACCCCTTTCCCAAATTTGCATAATTCCCCTAATTTGCATAAATTATATTCGCATATGAGAGGTCCAAACTTTGTGTGTTTTTCAATGGTTGTCTTAGCTAGAACTCCATAAACTGTTGATTTAAATTTAAAATTTATTAAAATAAATAAATAATACTTACAATAATTACTAACTATATCAATTCAAATACCATTAAAATTCTAAGCAGTAAGTAATAACATTAGCTTAAGTAGGTGGGGTAACTCTACTATAAACAGAAAGTTAACAATATTTATTTTACTACTACTACTAATGCAGCATCAATTGCTGCTACTGCTACTACCATTACTACTGCTACTGCCGCTACTTCAAGTGCTGCTACTACTAATACTACCTCTCCTGATCATTTTCGTGATATAACTACATAAATAAAGAACCTTTTTCATTTTCTGAACTGGCCTCAACCTCGACAATTTCCAGCACAGAAGGCAAGGATGCGAATGATTTCGAGAGGACTGGCGTATCTTCGACGTGTTGAAACGTGTGCTTTGTACAGGTTGATGTGCCATAGAATTCCTCACAGATGACACACCCTTCGTAGTTTATTGATATGATTACTTTTAATAATAATTTATAAATAATTTTTCTTCGGTTCAACACCATTCATGAATATTATTATAAAATTCTATAAATTAATAAAATATAAGAAAAATAGTTTTATGTGATAAATTACTAGATAAAATATTGTTTATAATTAGTTTATTCAAAGTATCAATAACATATACTCACACACAAACACACACACACACACATACAAATAGATTCTCACACACACAGGCATACATACATACATACCAACACATTATGATTTTTTAGTTTCAACAAACATTTTTCAGAAGCATTTGTATTTCCACAGGCATTGGAAGGTTCCTTATCAATGTTAATAGTGACATTATCATTATTTTTCACCAT